AAAAGAAAAACGTGCGTTTTCCCTCTCTCTCTCTCTCTCTCTCTCTTATATATATTACGTAATAAGTAATAATAATAAATTATTATTTTTACGAAAAAAAAAGGAGGAAAACTCGGGAAAAAAGGAAAGGAAAATGGAAAAAAAGGAAAATTTTTTTTTTTTTTTTTTTTTAATTTTAATGTATTACCCCCTAAAAGTAATAATTTAAAAAGTGTTTAAGGGGGGGGGGGAAACGAACGAACATAAAAAAATAAGATTCTAATCGTAGGAGGGCTAAAACGTAAAATAAATTTCAATTTTCGTTTTCTTTCTTTTTCTACTCTTCATCGTTTCTCCCCTCCACTCCCCCTTCCCTCCCACTCTCACTCCCACTCCCACTCGCTTCGTCCGTCCCCCGCCGGAAGAGGGCGGAGGCGGGAGCGGGGAAAAAAAAAGTGAAAATTGAATTTGTTTTTAATATTCAGTCGTGTCGGAAAGGCTTTCGAGTTTCTCTGTCTCTCTCTCTCTTTCTCTGTCTCTCTCTCTTACTCTGTCTCTCTCTCTTACTCTCTCTCTCTCTCTTTCTCTCTCTCTCTTTCTCTGTCTCTCTCTCTTACTCTCTCTCTCTCTTTCTCTCTCTCTCTCTTTCTCTGTCTCTCTCTCTTACTCTCTCTCTCTCTCTCTTTCTCTCTCTCTCTCTCTTACTCTCTCTCTCTCTCTCAACAGCAGAAGAAAAAAAAAAAAAAGAAAAAAAAATTTAAATTTTTCGACTTGGCAATTTTCCGGTGAGTTTCAATTTTTGGAATTTCGTATATTTCCTCTCTTTGTTCCCTTCCCCCTCTCTCTCACTTCCCCCTTCCCCTCCCTCTCACGCGATGGTTTTCCAAATTTCGAACGTGTAAAATAATAATAATAATAATAATAATAATAAGTTATAATAATAATAATAATAAAAGTTATTTTAAATTAATTATAATAATCCAAAACTTTATTCAAAAAAAAAATCTTTAAAAAAATTACAAAAAAAAAAAATTACAATTTTTTTATTACGCTGTTTGTCATACATTTCAGTACAACAATAAGTGTATCTTAAAAAACTAAGGCGTTGTTTTTTATTTAAAGAACAATTTCATTTTTTCTCCAATTTTCTTCCATTTTTTTTTTTTTTTTAAAGAAACCTAATCGAATTTATAAAAAAAGGAAAAGGTTAAATGATGAAAAAAAAGTAAACATTTTTTAAAATTATTTACGTACGTATTTATATATTTATATAAACTATTGAAATATATATTACAAATCACTATAAATTTTTTTTAAATGTTTAAAAAGACTTTCACACATAATAATATTGATTATTTCATGTTTTTCTTTTTTTTTTTTTTTTGATCGTTGTTCGTTTTTTTTTAACTAAATTATTTCAGTCCTACTCCTTTTAATATTTTGTACACGTCACAAAAGAAAATAAAAGCAAAAAAAAACAAAAAAAAATGTACAAATCATGTTTTCTTTTATAAATTTACAAAACCGTTAAATTATTATTATTATTATTATTAATTACTGTAGGAACTGGTTTTTTTCTTTTACATATTATCCTTATAATTAATATTATTATCTTAACTAATAATACACAGTCTCTTGTAATTATTATTATTATTATTAATAGGTAACCGATAATAAAAAAAAATATCGTCAGGTATATATAAATATTTAATTCAAACCGAAATAATTTCACGATTTTTTTTTTTAATGACGTAATTAATTACGTAATGAATAATAATGATACGTACATATTAATTCTGCTATTAAATAAAAAAAAACTCATTTAAAACTATACAAAAAAAAAATAATAATAATATTAAAAATAAAAAAAATTTTTTATTACGTATCTACACGTAACCGTTTTGTTTTATTATTATTATTATTACGATCCCCTCCCCCCCACAAAAAAACAAAAAAACTAATATGGCTATAATTGGAGTAGAACTTTTTATTTAATATTGAAATGAATGGACGATATGTTATTATTATAATTTGAGGAAAATCAGCCTGCTGATTCCAGTCAGTGAATGATTAAAAAAAATTCATTGAATGTCAATTGATAACGCATAAAATCCTTATCATTCGTTATCATTTTGACGCTACTTTTTGTCTGTCCTATTTTAACATTATGTGATTATGTATTAGTGTACAAATTCGTTGGCCATTTGGTGACACTGTTGTGGTTCCACGATGACACTCGTGTATCCCAATTGAGGGACAACGTGTGACGGTAACGGTTTTATATCTTGGTGTCCGTGATGATGATGATAACTAGGACTCGTGTTCGTCTGTAAAAAAAAAATTTCATCAATTAAAAAAGTAGAGTTGACACAGATCGTCATTGAGTTCGAGGGGAGACTGAAATGTAGGTTCCACTCCCACGAGCGTCTCCCCTCCCCTCTTCACATAAGCCACGCTATTGCGACATGCCCAGGAGTTTTAGTGGGTATGGGTTCCCGGTTAGGCTTTCTTTCGAACCATACCGAGCCCCACACTCTCTCCTATCTAAGGAGGGGTTAGTGCGTAACTGCATTTCTCCTGGGTCATCAAAAAAAAAAAAAAAAAAAGATCGTCATTGAGTTTATCCAGCTACTTGGAGGCCGGGTACAGTGAATGACTCTGATCGTGTAATTCGGATTCTACTTGTTGCGCATTTTTAATAAACGGTCGACGGGACGCCCTGACCAAGCGTTTCCGCCGGCCGACAGGGTGTTTAGGGACTTGTTCCCGATGCGCGGCGGTTGAGAGCCGTTTTCCCCGGTCTCAGACGAAGAGTCAGACCTGTACCTTACCAACCATCCGGGGGGAAACAGAGAATGTGGGGCTCGGCACTTTTCTTTCAGGGTTTCATCATCCTGCTCCGGGAAAACAGGGATGCGAGCGGAAGGACGGCGGGAAGATCTTCTTGCGTGGGATGGTCCGGCTCCTTTCGCGGGGGATCGACTCGTCTCCGGAAACTCGTCATTCTCGGGGATGGTTCGCATGCTTAAGGACGGTGCGTGCGATTCATTCCAACGGCAGAAAGAAGATGCGAACAAAACATGAAGATCGGGGTGACGACGGATCCGACGATGACGACGACGTCGGAGTCCGCACCGGTCGGATTCTCGCACTTCGGACTGCAAGAGTCAATTGGACGGCGGCAGGGGCGAAACGCGGACGGACTGCGGGGGATGTTTCGTTGGGTCCGATACTTCGAAGCTCACCGCCTCCGGAAGCTCACTTCGTCTCTGCGGGGAGGCGGGAACGGCGTGGCAGGTCGGAGTTGTCTCCCGGGGCACGAGGGAAGAAAGGATTCGTCCCGGTACTCCGAGTCGGGCTCCGGGTCTCTTGCTCGATTACGTCGGGGAAAGATTCGTCCCGGCTTCAGTGCGTCGGCGTACTTCGCGGCAGTCGGAGTCTGGCAAACTTTCGGTCGTCGTGGGGTCGTCGAAGGGGGGGGACGGGGATTAATGTTTCTGATCTTCAGGTTCATGTCTTCGATCTTTCTCCCGGAGCGATGGCAGCGGCAGGGGCGCGCAGGTGAAAGAGTCAAGCGGTCCGGCCGGGAGTAGCGAACCCGTCTGTGTCGTCCGGTTCCGGAAGCTCGCGTTTCCTGCGGCGGGGGCGGGAGCGACGTGGCAGATCGCGAACGTCCCCGCAAAGGTGAGGGTGAGAACGCTCGGCGGCGGTGGGCGCGAACCCATCGTCGTCGGGCGAACACACACACACACTTTTTTCTTTTTTCTCGAGGGTCGGCGACCCCGGTCGATTCCTCTTCTGTCCCCTTTCTATTTCCCACGCCGTTAGGGAGGATGCGATCAAATACTTCTTTACTTTAATCTTTTTACCCTTTTCAGGTAACGCGGTAAGTCTCAATCCCAAGCCCCGATTGCATCCTCAGGAAACAGGCGCGTTTCTCATCCAATTCCCCACGGCGAGGGACCGGAGGACACTTCCGAAAGGGGGTGCCGAACGTCCCGGAAGGTACGTTCTCATCTTCGAGGAGGAGACGGAACGGAAATTAGGGCGGACCTCCCCAAAAGTGATCATGTGGAGCGGCTAACGTTCTGACCTACTGGAGAGGGGAGACTGAAATGTAGGTTCTACTCCCACGAGCGACTCCCCCCCTCTTCACATAAGCCACGCTATTGCGACATGCCCAGGAGTTTTAGTGGGTATGGGTTTCCGGTGAGGCTTTCTCCAAAAACCATACCGAGTCCCACACTCCCTCCTTTCAAAGGAGGGGTTAGTGCGTGACCGCATTTCTCCTGGGTCATCAAAAAAAAAAAAAAAAGATCGTCATGATGTATGTCTTTAACGTACCTGATGATGATTGTTATTGTATCCGCATGATACGTATGAATCGTATATGTGATGATGATCTGTTATTTGATCTAATATTGAATGTTCTGTTACGTGATGCTGCGAATTAGAAATTTGTATTGGTCCTTGTTGTTGATATTCGCTTTCGATTGAACTGCTTGACGAAGGACTTGAACTAAAAGGACGTTGAGATTCTTGTGAATTCAAACCTTCCTGATTGAAACTATTAAATAAATCTGGAAAAAATAAAATTTTTTTGTACCTTATTCGCGTTTGTTACAAATAATAATAATAATAATTATTATTATTATTTTACCTGGATAATAACTGTTGTTCTCAATGGATGAGTACCAAGTTGGATATTCGTAACCGCTGAGGCCACCACTAGAATCACTATAATCATCCTCCGGTTGTTGTCGTACATTTCTTGGTTGTTGGGGGGCTGCCGCGGCGACTCTTGATTTATTATTAGTTATTGTCGGAGCCGCGGATGATGATGATGATGATGATGACGATGATGTTGTTGAGTGGTCTGAAACAGCTGCTACATCGTTTCTCGGTAGTTGAGCTAGATTTATAACTAAGTCTTTGGCTTCTAAATCACTGTATGTATAAAAAGGTTAAAAAATTTATTATTATTATTATTATTATTGTCGTCGAAGTCTTAAGTGTTTTGTCTTTTTGTTAAATGACATACCTAAGTACGTAGTTGACGCTAACTATACAATGAGGACGAGAAGAACGAGTATTATGTACTATGGTTGCGTAACTTTGCATCCATACCCATCCACCGTCTTTAGTTAAAAACCTAAAATACTTAGTCGTGACTTGCCCTTTAAAAAGTACTGAAACGAAAATAATAATAATGATAATAATAATTATAATAATGATGATAATAATAATAATAATGATGATGATAATAATGTCAGACGTTAAAGATTTCGAAAAAAAAAAAAAAAAAATTTTTCTTTTTAACAAAACAATTATAGGGTCAAAGAAAAATTTATCCAATTATTATTGTGTCAGTAAAAATTCTATTGACACGTGGCTCTCGTACCACTTCACTCATCTTCGAGATTTTCAAACAAATGATCAACCAACGTCGTCGGGTTTAACTAAAAAAAAATTTTTTTTAAGGGTAAAAAAAAAAAAATCTTAATTTACGCTTTTCTTTTCTTTTCTTTTCCCTTTTTTTGTTCATTCTTACTTCAGGCAATTTTTTATAAATTTAATTACATTTTATTTTAACGAATTTTTTTTTTTTAATACCGTAATAATTATAATAAATAATAATGATAACGTAAGATTTTCAAATTTTTTTTTTTTTTTTAAGAATGAATGGCGGTCATGAAATCCTCCATTATTATTATTAAAGATTAGTATTGAAATATTCCAGGGGATTAATTTATTTGCGCGTGGAAAGGGATTTTCCTCTCATTGTATTATTTATTTAATTTTCATTTTACTAATTCCATTTAAGTATTTTCATTTATGCTTTTTTTTTTTTTTAATAAGAAAATCCACGACGAAATATTTTCCACAATAATGGGGGGATACATTTTTAAAAAAAAAAAAAATTGTTTGCATTGTAAATTCAAACGCGTTCAAACGATCAAAAAATGCAAAATTTTTTTTGTTTTTTAAACGGGATAAAAAAAAGTCGTTAATAATAATAATAATAATAATAAATTTGTTTATTACTTACGTATATGATGTGAAATTCTCATATGCAACATATCACAGCCGTGTATATAATGATACAATGTTTTTTCTATAAGGTCTTGAGGTTCGTAACCTGTTAGGTTTGATACTCTACAACAAATAAGAATTTTGCATTAGACCATCAAAAATTAATAAGCTAGAAAATAAGAATAAGAACAAAACAAAATAAAAAACGAAATAACAAACAGAAAAGTGTAAAAAAAAAATTTTTTCAATTTGTAAAAGCGAATGAAAAAAAAAAAGGGGGGGGGGAATAATAGTAAAGTCCTTAATGGATTTTGCCGAGTTTGAACAGTTGCTTTATTCTCATACATATCGAATTTTACTCGCTGGTTTTTTTCTTTTTGCCTGTTTCCATCCGAGTAAATGAAAAAAAATTATTATTATTATTGTTGAGTTGAGCTTTCGTTAAAGCCAACCGTTTTTTACCCCCCACATTCCCATTCCCTTACACAAACTTTTTATTTTAATATTTTCACACCTTTAATAATAATCGTAAAAAAAAAATTAAAAATATCATCATCATCATCATCAACACCACCCTCTCCGTCCTCCCCATTTACCCACGGATAATAATAAAAATAATTTTACCTGGCATCTAAAAATATAAGTCTAAGATCTAAACTAGCTCTAAACATGAACATATTTGTATGTAATTTAATTTCTGTGATGGCACTTGGAGTTAGGGAATGTCCGACAGCAACTAATCCGGCATTTTGATAACAACCCTCGTATGATGTCGTATCCATAGGTAATGATTTCACTTTCAAGTATCCAGAACAATGAATAACCTAAAGTATAAATAAATAAATAAATAAATAAAAATTTAAAAAAAAATAAATAAGTTTTCTTTAACTTGAGAAAAGAAAGAAAGAGGAGGAAAAGAAATAATAATAATAATAATAAATAGTCAAACACAAAAAAAGAAGAAAACTTTCAATGGTTGCCTTTTAATGTTTTCTATCCAATTGTAAAAAAAAATAAAAATCCTGCAACCGCATAAATTAACCGGCTAAAGAAAGTGAATAATTTAATCATAAGCACGAAGTCGCGTATATATAAGAAGAATTATAAAAAAATTTAAAAACCTATAAGGTAAATTAAAAAAACCTAAATCAAGGTACGTATAAACCACCAGGTGTGTGTATACACTTCAATAAAGGTCCTTCGACAATGCACACCTTAACACGTCTTAATAAATGCACAGGCACACACACACACAGAGAGAGAGAAAAAAACATTCATATCATACCGTTTTACGGTGCGAACCTTTTTTTTTTTTTTCAAAGCTATAAAGTCAATCAATTCACCTTAAATAATAATAATACTTATTCACAGTGAAATTCTTTTTTTTTTATTAAATTCCATTGAATATTTTTTTTTTTTTATTAATTTTTTTAATGAATTCCAAAACACAAACTTTGTCAATGGTACAAAAAAACCGTTTTTTTTTTTTTTTTTTTTTGGAAAAAAATTTTCATTCATTCATACTTTTTTTTTTTATGAATTAAATTTTTTTTTTTTTACTTACTTTATATCCTCCAGAAGTTAAACCAGCATTTCTTTTTGCCAATACGCATTTCATTCTTAAGAAAAAAGCTCTTTCCATTTCGAATTCTGGAGAAAAAAAAAAAAACAAAACAAAAACAATTTTTTTTTATTTTTTACGTGTGACGTTTAACGTTTTTTTTTCTGTTGGTGATTTCCAGCTTAAAAATTTTTTTTTTTTGTTTTTTATACGATCGAAAAAATTCTAAAAATTAACCATCGCTCCTTCCCCTCCCTCCTCCTCCCCCTACCTCTTTTAAAAAAAAAAAAAACTGGAATATTTTACTGGAACTGTCGGTAATAAAAATTTATTTAAAAAACATTAAAATTCCGAGGAGAAAAAAATTTGCACAAATAATTTTTTAAACTGGAGACTTTTTATTATTGCGTAATAATAATAATAATAATAATAATAATAATAATAATAATAATAATAATAATAATAATAATAATAATATTTGCTTTGTAATGAACCCCATCAAAGGTTAACAAAAAATTTTTAAGGGTTACATTACAAAAAAAAGGGGGCGGAGCAAGAAATGCTGGAAGGCGTTTTAAGTTAAAATGGAAAAAAAAGAATCTATTGTAATCGATAAGAAGAAGAAGAAGAAGAAAGAAAATCCAGAATAAAACTACTGGAAATTTCTCAAAAAAAAATTAAATCAAATGAAACGTTTCTCATTCCCTGGAATAATATTTTTCTGAAAAAATTAGAATTTCGTCAGACGAAGCAAAAAACGTCGATGAGATTTTTTTTTAACAATTACCTTTGACCTTTTTCCTTTTTTTTTTTTTCATAAATATTTACATAAATTTATTACTTTTATTTTTTTTAAATAATTTAAAATAATTGTTATTTATTTATTACTCAACAAACAAATGTTATTATTATTATTATTACCTTTTTTTAAATAAATTTTAATTAACGTTTAAAATTAAAAAAAAAAAATAGATTTTTGTTTTTATTTATTTTTGTTACTCGGGTAATAATAATAATTTAGAGGAGGAGGAGGAAAAGTGTGTACGCGGTTGGGGGGTAAATTAAAATTTTCGAAGTGATATTACCTTTTATTATTATTATTAGTATTATTATTATTTTAACCTAATAAATGAAAACTTACGTAATTTTTTTTTGACAAGTGATCAAGAAGTCGGAATCGAAAATCGATACGTAAAATTTTTTTTTATCGCTTTGGAGGGGGGTAATTAATTTGTTTGTTTTTTGTTTCGATATTATTATTATTATCATTTTATTATTACGTAATAATAATAATAAGTAATTACCTTGACCGAGGTGCGTCATTTGTGGCGGTGGTTGATGCATTGTTAAAACGGATATCATTTCATCGTGATCGTGTGGATGAATATATTCGTATATACTGTTTCCGGTTAATTCAACCTGTTTAATAAAAAAAAAATTACATAATAATTAAAAAGCGGAAAAATTTATTAATTACTGTTAACGGTTTCGATAAAACGCGAGAAATGGTGGGAGTAATAAAAATTAATTTTTTTTGTTTTAATAATTACAGGTAATAATTACAAATAAAATTAAAATTACCTGTGACAATCCTAAATGAACGGATGCCGTTTCGGAAATGTACATTATTTTACCATCTGGTGCCACGACAAATATAAAACCGTCTAAATTTTGTAATAGATTCGATCCGAGTTCTTTAATCGAGGATTCCCTTGGATTATTCGGGGGTGGTGCAGCTCCCCAAGCATCTCCCAATCCTGTTTAATTATAAATAATTATGTTTTACGTGACGTCATTACAAAAAAAAACGTTTAAAAACCGGCTGAAATGGAGGAAACTGTACAACGTCTGGAAAACCGAACAACCACCAACAAAAAAGTTTTTCTTTTTAACATTATTATTATTATTATTATTATTATTTCAAGTTATTATTATTATCATTGGTGTTAAAAAAGGGCGTCGTACGAAAAAAAAAAAAAGGAGCAAAACGTTTTTTTTTTTTTTTTTATTTGTTTACATCGTGTAAGTTGATATTTTTTTTTTCGGCGGTTGTTATTTTTTATGTTTTAAAAAAATTTTTTTTTTTTTTTATTTGAAAAAACAATCGGTCGTGTTAATAAAAATTTGTTTAAACATCTGTTTAACTAACAATAATTAAACGAGTAGTAACAACAACAACAACAACAAGAAAAATGGGATATAAAATGACCGAACAGTCAATTAACGAGATTTTAATTAAAAAAGAGGGAGAGAGGAGGAGGGTGGGAGGGGTAGAAGTGTGTAATAAATTTTTTTTATACTCCATACAACACCCCCCCTTTAAAAAAAAATTAAAAATATTTAACGGATTTCATAACAATTTAAAAAAAAAAAAAATCCCGTCGGATATTTAAAAAAAAAAATGGCCGCCTTTTTTGTTTTGGTAAAACAAATCAATTCGTTTATTATTGTTATTCCTACGTATCATCATCATCATCATCATCATCATCATCAAATCCATACATTTTTTCTTATATAAAAATTTTCATTTTTTAAATTTCTGCAAAATTTCCCACAGGAATTCGAATTATTTTAATAAAAAAATAAAATGAAAAAACAAACAAACATAATTAATCACTTTCTCTTTTTTTAAATTTAAACGCACGATAATAATATTATTTAAAAAAATGATGATGATAATAATAAGAAAGAGAAAAAGAGAGAGAGAGAGAGAGAGAGGGAAAGAGGAAAGTAAAAAAAAAAGAAAGGGGGAAAAGAGATTTTTGATTTGTGATTGCACACGAAATCCCTTTTTGAAAAACGTGCTCGAGTGAAAAAGATTTTGACCTCATATACGTGACATGGGGGTTGTTAGAGGTTTAATGACGAAATGCATTTGAGTATTAAACGAGTTGCTTGAGGCTTTACCCGATTTATTACAACACAACTGTGTGCGTGTATGCGTGCGTGCGTGCGTGCGTGCATGTGTACGGATTTTATTTGCCCTTTTAGTTAACGTCGGCAAAAATATTAAAATACATTTTAAAAAAAGGATGCGGAAATAAGTAGCTAAATAAAAAAAAATTTTATCATACCTTGTCTTACGACCTATAAGATTTTTCCAGGATAATACGAGAAGATTTGGAGGGGTGGAGGGTGGGATGTGGGGATGTGGGGGTGGATGGGAAAAGGACAATTTAAAAAAAAAAAAAATTATAAACGTACCATCTGGAAAAAAATGTCTCATTTTAAGATAGCTCGTAGTTAATCGAATTATCGATGCTTTATCCAGTTGACTCGTTATGGCCGATGGTAAAGGTAATAATTTTGCTAATTCCAAAAATTCAGCATTTTCTTTTTCCCTCCTATTTCTTGCTGCATTTTTACTTTTTTCTTTCATTTTATTAAATATTCCTGCAAAAAAAAAAAAATCAAATCAATTAACAGAGAAAAATGATTTCTTTCCCCCCAAACCTCCGCCCCCCTCACGAGTTTAATAGAAAAAAAAAAACATTTTAAATAAAACCTACAAACACACACACACACACAAACACAGGTGCCCGCAAATTTTTTTTTTTTTTTTTATTTTCAGGTACGGCGGCATAAACTAATCTTTTCTTCGGATTGATTTCTTCCGGACCGTTCCAGACCTTATGTCTATTAATTATTTACAAAAGTTATTTGATTCCTAGACGTATAGAGAGAGACCCTCGTCTAATTTTTTTTTTTTTAGGGGTCACTAAATTTTTATTTGAAAAAAAAAAAAAAAAAAAAACGTTTTTTATGTGCAAAAGACGTCGTCGTCAACGAATGTTGAATATTTTTTAAAATTTTCAAAATTTATTAAATTAAATTATTTTTTTAACAAAAATATTATTTACGTAATAAATAAATAAATAAATTTATTGCCACATCAACAACACCAAAACAACAACAACTCAAACACACGGAAAAAAATAAATAAATTTTTGTTTTTTTTTTTTCTAATAAAAAAAATTCACTTTTAATAAATAAAATTAATTTAAAAACTTTTTTATATAACACAAAATTATTATTATTATCACTATCAATATTATCATTCATAACATTTTTTATTTTCCGATGGCGATCAAACGTTTATAAGAATCGAACAATAAATACCTGTAATTTTTTTTTTTTTATTATTTTTTTTTTACCTTACTTAATTAAGTAAGGTAATATCAACTTGGATATACGTGAAATAATAATAATAATAATAATAATTTTATTCGTTCGACAAGGTCAAAGATCTCAAACATAATTTTGACCTTTTCGCCTTATAAATTTTTTTTTTTTTTTTTTTAATATATATTCGTAATGAATTTATTTTCTTAGAATTAAACAAAAAAAAAAAAAATATTAACCTTATTTATTATGATTTGATAGAGATCGATTAATTATCGGTGATTAATTTTTATTTATCATCATTTTTGTTGGGTAGATGAAAGGGGGAAGAGGGGGAAAAGTGGTAAACATTCGCATAAAATTAAAAAAAAAAATCATTTAAATTAATTATTAAAAAATTGAAAAGTTTGGGTTTTTTTCCACTTTCTTTCCTCCTTTTCCTCTTGCTCCTTCTCCTCTTCCCCCTCTCCTTCCCCCCAAAAAAACGCGTGGAGAATAAAAAAATAAAAAGAAAAAAATTTCTATGTAACAAATAAGAATAACATTGTCGTCGGTAACACAAGGGAAAGAGGTAGACGAATATTTTGTGTGCGAATATTGTATATCCCAACACGACGATTAGATTCATTTTAATTTAGTTAGAAAAGGTTAAAAGGGCAACCCGGGTTTCAAACTGGAGTGTTTGAAAAAAAAAAAATTCTTCGCATCAGGTGTTCAATTAGAGTCGGCCATCACCCGAAAAGGCCAACATCGATACAGAAGACACCGAATCCCCGTGAAATTTCACATAAAATGCAAAAAAAAAAAAAAAAATTCTTTTTTAAAACAAATTATATTCGACCTGATACTGTTGTCGGGATTTATGTTTACATCAATGTGTCGGCCGAAAGGGTTTCTCCTCACTCTCTCTCTCTCTCTCTTTTCTATTATACCTTTTAAAAAAATTTATATTTAACCCAAGTGTGACCGATTTGTATTTAAAATCACTCGAAACCTTTTTTAGTTGACGAGAAGTTGTTAAAACATTAATAAACTAACGTTCGTTTTGTTTATCAACGTCGAAATTAAATTAAATTTAAAAAAAAATAAATAATAATAATAATAATGAATTATTAAAAAAAAATATTTTCTATAAGAGGGGATTAAGGGGGGTGTGGGTGCGTGAACGAACAATTTCACGGTTTATTCACGAAACGAATAAATAATTGATTTTTTTTTTGGAAAATTCTTTTACACGAAATCATTTAAACCTGTCGACAGGTCGTCTGACCTGAAATTCATTCAATGAATGAAAAAAATCATCGTGATTTTCTTTTTCCAGTAAGAAAATTCCTTCCCTCCCCTCCACCTATTCGTTCGCACATAAACCGAAGAGAGAGAGAAACAATCCGTTTTGTTTATTAACAAACATAATTAAATAAATTTGTTTTTTTTTTTTTTTTTTTTCAGCTGCATAAAAAAAAACATGTCGGGTAAATAATATTGAAAGAAGAAAATAATAATAATAAAAATTAATCAATAAGAAAACAGGAACAAAGGTTTCGTTTACAAAACCTTAAGTTTTTTTTTTTTTTTATAGAGCATAATATAATTTGGATGCAGCTGTAGACAGGGGGAATTGATTGGTGCAATTCTCTTACGTCATGGTTGGTGCCACGACCAACTTTACGTTTAAAAAAAAAAAAAAAATCTCGTAGCATACCGTGAAATTAGTTACTGATTATATAGATATAAGGATATATAATTTATGCTTATTTGAGAACAAGTTAATGAAAAAAAAAAAAAAATCAATCATTTATTATATTTTAAATTAGTTAAATTGTTTTGTTTTGTTTTGTTTATCTGGTTTAATGTTTGTCGAGTGTTTTATATATACACAAGATTCCAAAATTAAATTCCAGGAAAAAACGTTCAGACATTTTTTGATTTCTAAACCGATATGTTAAAAAGAAATTGCTTTTGTTGATGATTATGTATCGTAAAGAACGGATTCTAACGGAAATCTTATACGTACGAACGGTTATACGAACGCCTACTCAACAACATCGTACCTACCAAAAACCTTGACCAAAAATGTTTTCACGTTTAATCAAGGTCATAATAATATTTTTCAAAGTCGATCATAGGCCTATAATATATTGTGTTGGTGATATCTGGTCAGCGACATGGTGGTAACATTGACTTATGCCTCTACATAAACAATTAAATAAAACAATATTATCATCATCATCATCGTCGTCGTCGTAGTCCGTTAGTTGTCTTTTTTTTCCATAATATTGTGTTTGTGTGTTTTTGTATTATTCTAGGACTTGAGCAAAAAATAAAAACAATTATTATTATTATTATTATTGTTTTTTTTTTCATTTTTCATTATCATTTTTATTATTAATAATAATAATAAGTCAAAGACCTTTTATTTATTTTAAATCTTAAACTGCTGACGGTTATTTAATTTTTTATGGATGTAATTGCCGACATATTATTTTGACGAAATCAAAATCCCTGATTAAGCAATTATTATTATTATTATTGTTGTGGTCGTCGTCGTCGTCTTTGTTGTTTTAATTTGTAACGTTTTGCAAGTTGACGAGAATGTTAAATTATTCGAATTTCTAAAATAGGTATTGTTGTTGGACATTTTAAAAAAAAAAAAAAAACAAGCAATAATAATTTCTTAGAAGGAAAATTTTCGGGTGTAACATAAAACTTTATACGAAGGATTTATTAACGCCTACTAACCCGATTTAATAAAATTTCATTTTAACAAATTAACATTGGTAAAATGATATCGTGATACCTTCCCCTCCCCTCTCTCTCTCTCTCTCTCTCTTTGTATTTCCATTTGTGATTTTATGACGTAAGAACGAATAGACGGGAAAAATCTTACGTAACGTCATTAAATTAACAAAAAATTCAAAACGTTTTTTTTTTTTTTCACTTTCATTTAATTTGCGAAATAATAATAATAATAATAATAATAATAACAAACGAATAGAGCGAAATAAAAATTAAAACGAGGGATATGTAAAAAAAAAAATGTTTATTAAAAAAAAAAAAAATGGCCTTAATCGTAAAGGTTAAGGATTTATTATTAACGTTTTTTTTTTTTATAATCGACCGCGAAAATTCAATTTAAAAAATAAAAAAAAAATTTTTTATTGTTTCAAAGCTTTAATTTGATGACAGTTAATAAACAAATAATAAAATCGTTTTTTTTCAAAACGATAAAAGTGAGGGAAAAAAAAGAAAATTTTCCAAAAAGGAAAATTTCAATCAACAATCGACTTTATGTAAGTTTAAATCAAAGCGGAAAAAAAAAAGTTTGTAAGTTAAACTCGTAAAAAAAAAGAAATTTATAATGATAATAATAATAGTAATAAAAGACGGAGGGAGGAGGGGGAAAAATTCTCACACTTAAAACAACCAACCAATACGACAATTATTATTATTTTCTAACTCAAAAAGTGAACAACAACAACAACAACGGTTGCTATCTATAGAAAACACTCGAAATACCTCCCCGAAAAAAAAAAAAAAAAAAAAATTCTCCCTCGACTTAAAAAAATTCTTCCCCCATTTTCTTTAAATATTTCACCCCTTTTGAACATGCGCAATTAACATTTTTCCTTCTTCTTATTTTTCCTATCGTAAAACTTTTAAACAATAACTTTTTACGTCGAATGATTTACTTTCGTTTTTCTTTTTTTTGTTTCAAACTACCCTTCCCCTCCCTCCCGCTTTTCTTCCCACCTCACCCTTTAAATCTTTAAACGATATTCAAAATATTTAAAATAAAAAAAAAATCGGAAAATCTTTTTTCCGGTGGTTTTTTTTCCACTTAAAAAACTTTTTTTATCGTTCGCCATTTTGACTTTAATTTCATCATCATCATCATCATCATCATTATTACTTATATCTCATCTTATTTATTTATTTATTAAAATGATTAATAAATAAATTTATTTATATTTATTTAAATTTAAAAAGAAAGGAAAATGGCCTTTAATTTATTACGTTCGACGATGATTATTATTTAAATTTCCATTATTGATTATATTTACACAATTAATTTATTATTATTTAACGTATTTAACCACGTCTGCCAACCTAAAATTTTTTTTTTTTTTGTTTTCGTTTGTTTATTAATTTCATCGTGGATTTATACACGCGCGCGTTCACGTTCGTGCGTTTTATTCTGCTGCTACTACTCCTGCTACCACTTTTTGTTAAATCCACGTTTTTCAAATGATGCGTAAA